ATTATGATGATAGTATAATATACACCAAAACCTTTTGCTAAGCATTAAGACCCCTACATTATGATCTTTGATCGGTCATCCGTCGGAGCCAGCGAGCACTTTGATTACAAGCCGACGGAATAAGATTGACAGGATGAGTGCTGGTGCGAGCAGTGGCACGAAACGCCTAAACCCTACCTGGACCCCAAAGAACCTACCGATTCAGGATTCCCTATTATGTTTTCTTTAATGTAAGTCCTGAAAAAGGTCGCTTGTTTGGGGTTAAGGTAAGCCTTATAAGCCCAAACTAAACCCCAACCCTAACATTACTAAACTGAACACTCTCAACATCCCTCAACCATGCACTCTACACTGGAATCCCTAAACCCTACAGACTAGACTGAAGATCCTAAACCCCATATCTACGAACCCAGCCGACCTCCACTGCCCGCCAGGGAAGCATGCGCTTGACCTTGCGGAGCTTCGCTTCTGGAGATTAGGTTTGGGGTTTGGGCTTACGGATATTAGGCGTTATGGATTAACTTTGAAGTCGCGATTTCGGGTGGAAAGGTCTAGTGGTCCGGAGTTTACTGCTGCCTTCAGATTCGGACTACACAGGGCTGGGCCATATTTTTCCGACATTCAAAACACGGTTACTGACACTCTTGATACATGAGACTTCTACAGCCCCAAGATGTAAACCATAATCCTGCAATCCAACCTCTGTTGGAGTCTTCCTATGGATGGTACTGGGCGACGACAATCTCCGTTGATTGCATCAACCGTGGTAAATCTAGTGGCCTCAGCAGTTCGTGCCGGGTTTTAGTGGTATACGGTATACTATGTCTATGCAGGGAGTATGAGGGGATATTCTCAAGTGTGCCATAGTGCTATGTTGTAGCTCTTCAGACTTCCACATTAGCTGCATGCCGATGCCTTCTGGGTTCTGTGCCCTGGTACAGTGTACAAGAAACCCGTGCCCAACCAGAGTTCAACCTTCTTTGAGAGCTTTGGGTGGATTCTGTTGAGTGTTTAGTCCTATTGACTCCAGCCCCTGGGGCCAAGACCTCCGTTCTGGAACCCCGATTCTGATGCAAGTTCAGGTATGCTTCGCTGTAAGGCCGAATGAGTGAACGTGTGACCCAGAGGCCCATCTTCGTGATGCTTACGGGAAGACACTGCTTTCGCGTAAGATTCTCTGGAATGCAGGTGGGCCAAGGAGGTAGGAGTCCACCTCCCTTGCAGGGCGTTTCGCTTCTGAGAAAGACACAATGTCTTACATGTGCAGTTTCCTAGGAGAACTAATCAAAGACTTAAGATTGTCCCGCAGGCCTTTTCAAGTAGCTCCGGTCTCCTGAGTTCCCGGCGACCTCGCCCAGGATGTCCTAACAGAACCAGCAATCGTAGGGGCTTGGGCTTTGGGGTTGAAGGGCTTAAGTAATAAATTCAAGGGGAACTGCACTACTCAGGAAGCTTAGAGATAAAGGGATCATGGTACCCAGTGAATGGAAAGGCTACTTCATTACTCGACTACTGAGGGAGCGGCATGTTCGGATCTCAGAAGCAGCTGACTTTGGAGTACAGCCGCCTTTAAGTGCTAAAGTTCTGAAACGCCACAATCCACTTTCCAGTTGGCTCCTAGCAAATATGCTGCTACAGAAGCGAAGCCGGACCCTACCAAAAACAGGTCATGGTAGCTTATTTAAAATAAGCCCATGTAAGCCCTCAACCCCAAGATCTGAACCCTGAATGCCCAGCCTTAATGCCAAAAGCCTGAGATGTGAAACGTGAAGAGCTCCCTTAAACTGAGCTAGGGCTTGGGGTTGAGGATTTATATTCTCTGCAACCCTGCACCTCAGCCCGCCAAACCCCACAACCCCACGAACCAGAAGACGCAAACCCTAAACCCTAAACCCCTAAACCCCTAAGCCCCTAAACCCCTAAACCCCTAAACCCTAAACCCAAGCCGCCCAGCCTTGGGTTTGAGTCGGGAAGTTGAGGCTCGAGACACTAAGTCGGGTAGTAGCGCGCAAGAGCGGTGACAGCAGAAACCTCGAAACTTTAATTTAGCTTTGTTTGGGCACTTCCACGCGGGATATGTACGTATGAATGTATGAATGTATGCATGTATGTATGTATGTATGTATGCATGTATGTATGTATGTATGTATGTATGTATGTATTACATACATAATTGCATACAAACATATACATACACATACACATACACATTGTACACATACGCATACACATATATGCAAAGGCTCTATAGGGGATGACATGGTCTAGAGCCATATGACTTAAAAACTAAAGATGAACCCCTGAGGCTAAACTTCTGGAAACCCTGAACGCAACCTGGCAGAACCCTTTACAGAACCCTAAACCCTAAACCCTTATCCCTAAACCCTAAAACCCTTTACGGAACCCTTATCGATTCCTTGTGGAAACCTGAAGCCCTCTACCCCGAGCCGCCGTGGCCTGCCGACACCTCAGAAGGCATGGCGTGGTGCCGTGACAGACTTCCGGCCGCCTGCGATCCCCAAGGGTCCAAAGTACCTATATAGTAGGATGTAGGGCTTCTATATTAGGAATCCTTATTATGGTTTGGGAAAGTATCCCCCATAACAGTACCTAGGACCCTTTGGGGATCTTGGGAGATAGGGATTAGGGCAGGGATTCAGGATTGCTGTGGCTTTAGGGGAATAGGATCTATAGGATTCAAGGTTTAGGGTTTGGGACCTAAGGCTCCGGTCCAGCAACTCAGCCGCCGCGCCTCTAAGCCTTGCGTGGCATGGTCCTTGAGACTCAAACCATACAGCCAGGGGCCCTCTTAAGTTGTTGAGTGCTTAAAGTGTCGGGCTTGGTTCAAATGAGCTGACACACTCCTACCTTATCCCACCATAAACTGCTTTGTTGTAGGTTCTTGCTCTAAACCCAAACATAGAACTACGTAATCTAGTTTTGGCAGAAACCCGTTAGGTCACGTTTCTCCGGTCTTGGGACCTATGAGCACTAGGCGAATTACGACCCGGTGTAGTCGCGCTTGGGGGTTTGGTAGGGTTTAGGGTTTTGAGGTCTAGAGTTAAAGGGCCTAGGAATATGGGCTTTCGGGAACAGATATTCTTCGAGGCAGGGGCGTTCTTTGTAAGTAATAAGGCTCTTGCCATGTAGGGCTGTCTATTTCAAGTCTCCTGTTTCTGAAACTCTCTATGTAGGCTTCATGCAGATGCTTGGGAGCTGCTTTGTTGAACACCATCCATACAAACAAAAAGCCGGGCTATGTCGGAGTCCTTCTCTCCAAGATGTGCACCGGAAGGCTGATTAAGGGCTTAGGGTTTAGGGTTCAGCTTTTAGAGTTTAGGGTTTAGGGGTTTAGGGTTTGGGGTTTAGGGGTTTAGGGTTTAGGGTTTGGGGTTTAGGGTTTAGGGTTTAGGTGTCGGCTGAAACTTGATACAAGTTACACGACACGTTCAGTGGACAAAAACGGTTCCGAGACTATCTTCGGACAGGTATCATACTGTTGATGGACAAAATCCTGCATGACCTTATATACCTAAACTATGGGATTTATGGTGCTATACTATATTTGGGTCATGCAGGATTTTGTCCATCAACATCATGCTGTCTGCTCTACACTGCGAGCAACGCAAGACAGGAGCGAGAGGCTCTCCCCTCCCTCCCATATACGACTCTGCACCGCACACGAGAACCTCAAAGCTCTATCGGACCTGACTCAACGATGTGTGTCGGGCCCAGGAGGCTCTGAAACACGGGTTTAGGGTTTAGGGTACTACCGTGGCTCCATCATACAACCCGGAAGCAGCCTGTGACCAAAGCCCATGAGGTCACGGACCAACCTGATCGTGGTCTTCGGCTTGACCTAAAGCCTGAAACCTAGGGCTTATAGAGCCCAAGACCCAACCGTTTGGCTACTCGAGCAGGCATGAGAATAACTCGACCGTGAATAAAGCTTACATGTCCAGATTCCTAGGGGTCATTGAAGATTAAGCTTTGTATTATATAGAGAGTTATGGATGATTATAATACCCCAAAAGGCGAACTCTTACTTACTGGCCAATGGTTGATCACCATAAGACCCTCCTGTTTACCATAAGACGGTCCTGTTTGGTCTGCATGGTCGACATTGAAAGTATGAGGGTGGTACCGGGTTTTTCAAGGTTGTAAGACACTTCTATAAACTTTTCCATGGGGCTGTACTATACGGGACTTAAAGATCGGAATAGGGCTTTCGGGTGTATGATAGTCTAGTTGTATTGGGACGAAGGGGTGGTATTCAGTATTCCGAATTCTTGAGGAATTGCAGGTATGTGCTCTAAAGCCAAAGCCCTACAGTCCTAAACCCTACACACATTTCCGTCGATGAAGGCTATCTGGGGTTTTCCGAAAATAGGAGACCCTAATATAGTACCCTAAATGGTAGGATCCTTAATCTAAGGACCCCAGAATGAGGTAGCCCTAATTTTCGGAAACTCCCATGTGTTCATGCCCTATAGACATGGCTCTGCACTCGAAGCTGTCCATGACGAGGTGCAGCAGCCTGTCAATGTTGACTCCTCGTGGCTTCTGCTGCCCGAGATCAAGCCCTAAACCCCCGAAGCCCTAAACCCTAAACCCTAAACCCTAAACCCCCGAAGCCCTAAACCGAAATCAAGCCCTACTTGGGCCCCAAATCAGAATCCCAAGCTTTGAAACCCCAACTCCCACAGACGAAGAACAACATACCCTAACCCCCCATGTACCTACTATATAGGGCCCTAGGGGCTCTAGTACCCTATATAGTAGGGACCTGGGAGGTTAGGGATAGCTACCTTCTGGGAGGCTGGTCCGCGCCTTCGAAGGTAGGGAGCTCTAGGGTGGGGAGCTCCGGTCGGGTTCAGGGTTTAGGGTTTAGGGTTTAGGGTTTAGGGATTGCTTAGGATTTGAAGTCTTTTTGTCTTAAGGATGTAGGTCGCAGGGTTTAGGAGTTTGGGTTTAGGGGTGTATTTAGGGCTATGGGTTGCGGAAAGATTTAGGGTTTAGGGTGTTGGAGGGCTTTAAGTTGTTGTGCGGAAGGCTTAAAGGAGCAAATTCGGTGTTCAGAAGGGGATAAAGACTGGAAGGATCCCCCGCGTGGCTGTGCTGTTTGTAAACCCTGACTACGCAGGACATGTATATACATATGTATATAATATACATGAACAGAGAATATGAATATATATATATATATATATTATACATACAAATATCTGTTTATTTATCTCGATGGTGCTTCACCAAATGCACAGAAACGGACACAAACAAAAATCCCTACTAGTGGCCCTGACTTGGGACCCAGGCTATCAGCCGCTCAGTAAACGACGTCTTGCAGATGTAGCCACACTTGAGATTGGCTATGCCCTAAACCCTAAACTCCTAAACCCTAAACCGTGACTCTGCCTACTACAAACTGAAACAACTAGTGATACTAGTCCTTCGGCTTTCTTAAGCTATGTTCAGTATGATAGGAGATACTCGAAAGCCCGGTTCGAATTTCTTAACTTAAGGCCCCTGAAGTTCTACTTTCTGAACACCCTTGCAATTTCAATGCCCCAAACCCGAAGCCCTAAAACCCTAAACCCTAAACCCTAAAACCCTAAAACCCTAAAACCCTAAACCCTGCCAAAGAGGCCGGCGCTTGCTTGAAGCCTTCCTTCCGAGGATCGGGCTGGCCGAAACGCACGAAGATCCATGAAGTATTCCTCAGCTCGGCTTGGGGTTTGGGGTTTGGGGTTTGGGGTTTGGGGTTTGGGGTTTAGGGTTTAGGGTTTAGGGTTTAGGGTTTAGGGGTTGCAGTGCAGGGCTCAGGGTTTAAGGATAAGTGTGGTTTAGACGAATAGGGTTTCGAAATTAGGGTTTCGGCCCATCACTTTGGGTTCACGTTTTAAGTACAAGGGGTACTGTAAGGACATGGGGAAATGTGTTTGTTCTGATTTAGTTCTGATTTACCGGCCGTGTTCGACGTCCTGAAATCACAAAAACCCCGCCTATTTGTCACATGAACGCCCACTGCTTTTAGATGATGCGGGGTTTGCATCCGTCGTGGTCACGATATCACGGATTCCATGGCTGCAGCCAAACATTACTTCGATAATCACACTCTTTGTCGTAGGAGGCGTTGTAGCAACTGGAGCATGAACTGTAACAGCAACTATCATGGGCGACGGCTAAGTTGTCGGAGGCGGATGAGGAAGAGGAGAGAGAGGTGGAGGACGCGGAGGAGGAGGAGGAGGAGGAGGAGGAGGAGCGACACAAGCATCACCGTTGAGCCTAGACTCGTCAGTACCCGAAATTGCTGGCACGGCTGGCTTATGTATAGCCGCAGGAACATACAAAACGAGTATTTGCTGCAAGTGTTCTTGCGAGACAACAGTCGCTAAGTGCGAAGCAGCGCTGCAAGCGTCGCGGCCTGCTGCCAGGACAGAAACTCAATAACCGCACAGAATATACTTTTCGGGCCCAAATACCTACTTATAAGAACTTGCTGTAATGCTACTTGCTATGATTCTCTGGCAATCCCTAGTACGGGTACGGAGACACCCCTGCAATGACATTTGTTGCGTGTGGTCGGCCGGGGTCCTGCTTACATCGGAACTTCACATACCCCAAGCTCGGCTCAGAAAGAAAAACTAAAATGAACTTGAAACCCCGTAATCATATACACCTTTGGATCTACACCTCCGAACCTGATGTTTTTTGGAGTTCCGGATCTGTCCGCCGTGCTGATGAATCATGCGCAAGATTCCAGGCTTTGTTGTGGGACTGTAGGGGTGATGATGGTTCAAGTTCTCAGGGCGTAACATAGAAGACTGCCCAGCCATAGACCAGAAGTTTGGAGTTTTGGGGGAGATCTATGCCATACGCACTGTGGAGCGCGAAGGACTAATATTCGTACATAACCATCCGGCACCATACGTGTCGGCTTGTTTGAACCTTTCCTCACAGCACCCAAACTGAGTGGACAGGGTGGAGAAACCTCCACAGATCTTCTTGCAGTCCATGGTAACAAATGCCGAAAGCAAAACCTCTTCCGCCATACATCCCGACACGCCTTCTTAGGTTTCAAGACCTGCAGGCCAAGGGTATTCCTCAAGAGCTGCAAACCTTTACACGCTTGAAAACCTCTATTCCCACTATCTAGATCAACCAAAATCCTGCATCCTGACTCCCGTGCAACTTGGCGCGCCCCCTCCGAGATGTTCAGATTCCAGCTTTCGTCCTTCCACCTCGGGGATTCTGTAAGTTTTGGGGCTTTGAGCTCGTAAGGCTATGGGTGTCGGTTTCAGGTCAGGGTCGTTCTCATTTAGGCTTCCAGGAGAGTGTCTGCTATGTCCTACTGGGGCATGTTGAAATACAGTTTTCTTATGGAAGGCAGGAATAATAGTGGAAACTAGTCCGACGCTGTATTCAGCTGGTATAGGGCTCGGAACAGCCATGAATATTATCTCTGAGGGTTCCTTACTATAGATATACCATGAAGGTATCCAAAACCCTATTGGACTTTTCCTGGCCCCTTTAAAAAACACGCCAAACCCTAATACAGGGGAGTATAATCTAACCACAAAGCCCATTCTAATTGAGAAGGCACCTATGTTAGACCCCTTTCAGCTTGTAGCTGAGCCGTCGACTGCTCCTCTTCCTCTTGGAATGCGAAGCTTCGTTCTGCCTGCCACGTTTTGAGGCTTAGGTAGGGTTTTTGAGTGTACCCAAAGGCCCCATAGTAGTTCCTTTTTGGGGTTCATATTTAGAAACCTATAAAGTAATCTGAAAAAGGAACTACTATGGTGCCTATGGGTAGAGTGTAGGATTTAGTTTACGGGTTCAGGATTCAGGGGAAACATGTGAGCACAGAGAGCCCTCATCCTGGGATTTCGGGGGGTTTGGCTCGTAGGGTGTAAGCTTTTGAAGGGCCGGCGCTCGGAAGGTTTCAGAACCCTGAAAACCAGGACCCCCCAAGGGCCCTTTACTGGAGCCCCTATGGTCCTTATTAATTTGTGGGTATTTAGAGTACATTAGAGGGTAGTTGGGGGGTCTAGGTAGTTAGCGCAGGATTTATCAGAACGAATCTATGGTACTTCTGCACGCAAGCTTTCACTGATCGACGAACCATGACAACCACTGTGATTGCCAATGACGACCCAGAACATTAGAATGCATGACAGTTTGGCATGCAGCTTTGCAGCATCTAGACAGAAACGACCAACACCAAAACACACACACACACAGACACTAAGAATGACATCATGAATACTCATGCGGCCTCCCTAAACCCAAAGCCCTGTTTCGTTCTTCGAGGTCTCAATCAGTCGTGTACCCACTTCCGGTATTTTCCGGTTCCCGTCTCTGATGTGGTGGGCCCATATCCATAAACCCCGAAACCATGGTATAGGGTTCAGGGGTCACATTTTAAGACGCATGTAGCTCTCAAATGTTTCTACAATATCCCTAGATCCTGAAACCTATTATCTCCAGACCCGCCCCTCAACCCTAAACCCTAAACTAAACCCTAAACCTTCGGCCACAGAACTCTGAACCCAGTGGTGCAAGTGGACGAGGCCTCTTCGTCCAAGGAAGTCGAAACCTGGTCCGTTTCGAAGCTTCGGCAAGCGGTTTAGGGTTTAGGGTTTAGGGTCTACCCATAGAGGGTATAATGTGGGGGCCTTAATAATTCCCTGTATGAATCTGTCGTTGTTTGTTTTTTTTGGGGGTTCTTCCTTACGATCATAGTTTAATAGGCCCCATAGTAGTTCCTTTTGGGGATTACCCAATAGGATCCTGAATGCAAACCACAAAAAGGAACTGCTATGGGGCCTGTGGGTAGGCCTTAAGATTTAGGGGGGATGTGGGCTCTGGGAGTGAGCGCTTTGGGCATAGGGGTTGAGACAGTATCGGGATCAGGCTTAGCATCGCTCAGGTCTACAGTACATTGCGATGTCCTGAAACCTCTCACGCCGCAAACGACTCTCATGCAGGGACCCGGATACCTAGAATAGGGTGTGGGCGGTGTGGGGTCATACTGTATGTGTTTGTCCGACTGTGGGGGCACATTTTGGCATACCCGCAGTAAAGTCCCCGTACCCCTAGATTCAAAGACTAAACCCAACTTGCCGACCTGATGGGAGTTTCCCAAAACAAGGGGTACCGTATTTTGGGGTCCTTATAATAAGGATCCTACTATTTAGGGTACTGTATTAGGGTCCCCTATTTTCGGAAACCCCCTGATTGCGCCAAGCACAAAACCCTGCCCAAACACCCAAAAACCTGCCCAACCGAGTCTGCCACAGAGGACGCACGCTGGAGAAGACGCATTGGGTAGCCATGGTTTCGGCCTCGTATCGACTATATGGACCTGAACATGTAGAAAAGGTTCTGAGGTACATCATACTAGCACTAAAGCAAGGAACCCCCTCACCCTGTTTTACAGATTGAACCTGAAAGTAAACCCTGAACGATAGACATGAAGCCCGCTTGACGGCTGTCTAGGGTCTCTCAAACTTGTTTTTTGCATCGTTCAATATCGTCCTGCCTCTAGCAGATGTCTAGCAGAGACGTGGGAAGTGGGGTACAGCACCCGAACTGAACCTTACCGTATCAGCCATGTAAAACCCGACTAAAGGCGTGCTAGAACCCCAGAAAAACCCTGTAGTTCTGGAGCTGAGGGTTCAGGGATGAGACCCTAAACCCTAAACCCTAAACCCTAAACCCCAATGGGTCGGGGTAGCTCACAGCTCATGCTTTAGGACCTTCGGCTGAATGGACGAGGGTTCACTGGATAAGTTAGAGTCAATGCAAGGCCCCTAGCAAAGGAATAGGGTTTTGGGTATTTCATCCGATAAGCATCATGAAACCCTAAGCAGCCCTATTCTAACCAGTATAAGTTCCTAAAGAGGCGCATGACATGCCGTTGGTGATTGCAAACTTAGATGAAGCGTACTACCTGGCACAGGTGCATCCGCTCAGCTTTTGCTATTGGATTCCCGCTCTAGTGCATCCTGATTATTGGAATCTTTGCTTTCTTTCGCTAAAGTCAAAGATCTATCTCCAAAGCCAGTCTCGGAAATGGTTCTCCGCATTCAGCGACTAGGACAAGCTTCAAGTGTTTATGGTGTCGCACTGCCTGTCGCACGACGGCACACCAACTTGTATCCTTAACCGGAATATATTTTGGAGCCGGCAGACCCTACAAGCCCGAGAACCCTGAACCTGAACCCTGAGAGCAAGCCCTCTCTAGGCCATAATCACTAAGTTACTAAGATACTATCTACTTAGTACCATAAGACCACAACCCCTGCTCCTTAGGCAAACCAAGACGAAGGTTCAAGCAACAAACGGAGCCCACAGTTTTAGTAGCAGGGGCCCCCAAACCCTAAACCTTAACCCTAAACCCTAAACCACAACCCTAAACCCTAAACCCTACCTAAGCCCTAAACCAACACCATCGAGGAATCGTCATGTCTATGCGGTTTTGTGCTCTTCGAGACCCAAAACCACATACACCCCCACAAGTATGGAAGACAGAGGCCCATAAGCATCACATATCCCTGGGAACCCCTGTAAAACCCTACTGTCGAACCCTGTAAAAGCCGATGCTTATGCAACCCTATGAGCCCTTACGAAGAGGAGTTCCCCAGAGTAGAGCCTCAGAACAGACTGAAAACTTCCCTTTGGAATGCTAGCACCCGCAAAAAGCCCTAAATTCCTGTTAAATACAACCCAACAAGACTCCTCACCCTTGGAAACACTCCATACAAAAATCCCGAAAGCCCAACAGTTAAACCTCTAGGCTCTAACCCCTACACAACCCTACACCCTAAACCCTAAAACCCAAGACGGCCTTCGTTCGACTTCGGTGAGGCCAGCTGCTTGAGATGGTGCAAGGTGCCGCGCATGGAAGACCTCCGAGTGACTTTCGTGTTTAGGAGTTCAGGCTTTTGGGTTATCCCTAAACCCTATACTGATATTCTTGCACATGGAAGAATCCAAAAAAAGGAAATGACATGGAATAAGTTTTTTAACATGTTTAAGAGCCTTTTTTACATACCCTGATATTCCAAGACATTGGGCTTGGAACATCACCCACTTGGAATATATGCCGCTGGAGCTGACAAGGCTTACTCTCATAACGGAGCGTCCGCTTGGAATATGTATGCATGGATGAATAACCCATGTATCGAACCATGGTGAAGGCAAGATACATCGACCCTACGACCAGCATACACTTGGAAAGTGGATATCAACATGTAGTCTTGTCGAGTTATCGATCAATATATTCCAAGTGAGTGGTTAGGTTTAAGTTCAAATGACAGGTCACATGGAATATAATTTCTTGCGCGGAAACCTCAACAACGCACATGGAATAAATCAAAAAAATGATTCCAAAAAAGGAACAATATTCCATGTGGTATAAACCCTAAATCCTAAACCAAACCCAAAAACCTAAACCCTACACCCTAAATCCTACACCCTGAACACTAAAGCCCTAAACTCTAAACCCTAAACTAAACCCTAAACCCTAAACCCTAAACCCTAAACCCTAAACCCAGTCCCCCGCGCGGCAGCAACAAGCCCACAAGCGAGAGCCTTAGCCTTGCAAGCCGAGGCCTGGGTTCCCATATGGGGGTTTCCGAAAGTTGGGGTACCTTATTTTGGGGTCCTTATAATAAGGATCCTATTATTTAGGGTGCTATATTAGGGTCCCCTATTTTCGGAAACTCCCATATGGGTACCCATAGGCCCCATAAGGTTTAGGGTTTTGGGGTTGGGGCTTAGGGTTTAGGATTTAGGGTTTAGGGTTTAGGGTCTAGGCTTTTTGGGCATTTAGGGTTCAGGAGTTTAGGGAGTAGGGTTTAGGGCTAGGGTTTAGGGTTTAGGGTATAGGGTTTAGGGTTTAGGATTTTGGGTTTAGGGTATACGGTTGAGGGTTTAGGGTTTAGGCTTTTCGGGCATTTAGGGTTCAGGAGTTTAGGGAGTAGGGTTTAGGGTTTAGGGTCTAGCCTTTTCGGGCATTTAGTGTTCAGGAGTTTAGGGAGTAGGGTTAAGGGTTAGGGTTTAGGGTTTAGGGTTTAGGATTTTGGGTTTAGGGTATAGGGTTGAGGGTTTAGGGTTTAGGCTTTCTGACATTTAGGGTTCAGGAGTTTAGGGAGTAGGGTTTAGGGTGTAGGGTCTAGCCTTTTCGGGCATTTAGTGTTCAGGAGTTTATTGAGTAGGGTTACGGGTTAGGGTATAGGGTTCAGGGTTTAGGATTTTTGGTTTAGGGTATAGGATTGAGGGTTTAGGGTTTAGGCTTTCTGACATTTAGGGTTCAGGAGTTTAGGGAGTAGGGTTTAGGGTTTAGGGTCTAGGCTTTTCGCAGGAGGATTGCTGGCGAAGCTTTCCCTGGAGAGGAGGATCTGTTTTCAAAGATGTCGCGGCGAAGGCGGGGGAAGACTACTAGTCCAAAAATTTCCCGGAGAAGGGGAAACTTTTTCAGAAAGAGGGGGAGCTGTTTTCAAACAGGTCGCGGCTCCTCCTGGACGGGCACGGTGGGGTACGTCCGCGGCCCCGTGGTGCTTGGGTGGACATTCGCAAACAAGGCCAACTGGCACTCCGTGGGTGGAAGTCTGCTTGGCACTTCACGGTGCCAGACCCTGTGTTCCACTTCGCCATCAGGTGCTTGTGGTGCCAACAAGCCTGGACGAACCTCGGCGACGTTTGGCATGCCAGGACATGCAGCCACTGCAGAGCTTGCTTCATGTCCAATCCGGCGGTGGCGTTTGCCTTAAAGTCAACATGAAAATCTTGATTTCAAGCTGCTTTGGAGCTCTTGGAACCCGGGCAAGAGCTCTTCCGAAGCCTCGCTACCCAAGGTTGTCAGATTTGCTTCAGGG